GCTGAAATTGCTGTTAGGTGCACCTTGATAGATGCAAGGGCCAGACCTTGTTGTTTTAGGTGGAGCAAGTAGTCCAGAATAGACTGAGTTGGAGAAAGGCCTTGTTAGGACGACCATATTGATAAACGCTTCCATTTGGTGAGGTAGGTAGCCCTAGTGGATGGCTTCCTACTACCCAGCAAGACCTGTCAAACTTGTTCCAAAGAGGCTTGCTCCTCCGGGTTCAGCCATGGAGCTTGTATGCAGTCGATGAAGGGACTCGAAGTTTGGGAGGAATCAACAGCCATGGTCTTGTGAGATCAGGCCTGGGTGGAGTAGGAGCGATAGCGGGGGTGCTACTGATAAGTCTAGCAGTGTGCCAAACAAGAGTTGGCGTGGCCATGCCAGGGCTATAATAACTCTAGCCTTGTCTCGCTTGATTTTTAGAAGGGCCTTGTGTATCAGAGGAACTGAAGGAAATGCATAGAATAGGAGCTCTGTCCATGGAGCAGGAAGATGTGTGGGCTATGCCGGCATAGTGAGCAAAATTGATGGCATTTCCTATTCTGCTTGGTCACGAACAGGTCCACCTGGGGAGATTCCCACCTTTGGAAGATGAAACTGGTGACCTCTGGGTGAAAGGACCATTCGTGATGAGAGGAAAAAGATCTGCTGAGGTGATCTGCCATGGTGTTCCACGCTCCTGGAAGATGGGAAGCCTTGAGGTGGATGTAGTGCTTCATGCAGAAGTCCCATAGATGGATGGCCTTCTGAAGGCTGGTCTACACTAACATTGTAAGTCAAATTAAATTACGCTAGTTCAGTTACGTAAGTTCCAGAACTGAAGTTGACATAACTTAGGTTGACTTACAGTGGTGTCTACACTGCGCTATATGAAGAGGAGATGCTCTCCCGTCGACACAGCTTCCACCTCTTGGGGAGGTGGAGTACAGATATCAACAGGAGAACGCTCTGCCATCGACTTAGTATGTCTTCACCAGACCCGCTAAATTTGACACCACTGCATTGATTGCAGCAGTGACGATTTATCCGGTAGTGTAGACATGGCCTGACATGGGGGGAGGAGCCTGCTTCTCCCTGCTTGTTGATGTAGAACATGGCCAAGGTGGTGTCTGTCAGTACTTGAACTACCTTGCCTATGATGTGGGGAAGAAACACTTGGTAAGCTAAGTGGACCACTCTGAGCTCCCTGACATTCATATGCAAGGAGAGTTCTTCTTGTGACCACAGGCCTGTGTCCTGAGGGGATTGAGGTAGGCTCCCCAACCTAGGTCTGAAGCATCCAACACTAGGGACACTGATGGCTGGGGAGTGACAAAGGGAACACCTGCCATTGCTCCACCCCCACTCCACCCCAAGGCCTTGCCCCACTCCATCTCCTCCCCCGAAGCCCCACCCTCGCTCCACCTCTTTCTGTCCCTGCTCTGCCCCTTCCCTCAAGGTCTCATGCCAGCTGCCTAACAGCTGAATGGCAGCCCAGCTGAATGGATGTGGTTGGTGGATGCTGACCATCCCCACTATTTTTTTCCATGGGTGCTTGGAATCAGTGCCTCGCTTGATTGTCTCCTTACTTGTAGCTGTGTAAATCAGGAGCGACACCAATGAAATTGGTGGAGTTACACTGGTATAAAATTAATGAACCACAGGTGGGTCCCCAGCCTGGGAAGCAGTCTAATGAGTGTCGCTGTGGTTCACCAGCAGATGTAAACCCAATCTGACAAGCCAGAGAATACACGTCAGACTGGCAGTGCTAGTAAGAATCTGAAACGCACTTCTTGAATTGAAAGGGTACTAAGCAGGGGTGAGTCTAGCTGGCATAGCTATACTGCCAAAGGCACTGTAGGGTAAACAAGGCCTGCATTAACCACGTTTTTGGGCAGTTCATTTCCCTTGTTTCTTGAGGAAGAAGTTTTAGTGAGGGGGCATGATTGGAGGGCACCTGTGGGAGGGGAATGATCTGCCACTTTAGCTACCAGCTCTCCTGGCCCCACCATGCCCCTGGTAGGGTTGGAAGGGACATGGGAAGAGAGGAGGATGGTAACTGATGGGCTGTGAGGAGCACATCTACCAGCTGGAGGCAGCAAGAAGAATAGCAGGGAGCCCCAGATTTTGTATCTACTTCAGGGAGCTAGTGTAAACAAAGGGGCTCTGCACACCCCTCTGCAGTACAGGAGTACTGTTCATGTGTGGAATGGACCATTCACCTCAGTGGGGTATACTCAGGTGAATTAGGATTCTCCAAAGAGATGAATAGTCTAACACAGGGGTGTCAAACTCAATTGCACAGGGGGCCAAAACTCAAAACTCGCGGGCCGAACAGTATAACCATTTATTTA